TACAAATTTTTCGCAAGTATTATTTCTACATATGTATATGTAAGCACTTCCAGTGCCGGCCATTTGAATAGCGCCCCCTTTTGTTTCTCAGTATTTACAATCTTCCTTTTGTTTATTTAAAATTTATTAGCTATTTATAAAAATACAGAAACAAGTATATCCGACTCTCCAACATTTGAAAAAACATTCGAATTTTTTGAGTATTCAAAAGGGCTTCCGTATATGTATAACAAACATGGTGCTCGATGTGCATATAAAAAAAAAAAAATTGGCGAACATACTTTGTATAGAAGAAAATGTGTGACTCCTTCAACCAAACAATTTAAATATGTTTGAAATTTTTATGAAAGTTTGTTCAATTTTTATGAAATTTGTATAGTTTTAAAATTGGATTTACATGAGTTTTGTTATAGAATATGCTATATGTATTTTCAATAAAGCAATATAAACAAGAGGAAAACTGGCAATACTGAGGATCAAAAGGGGGCGCTATTAAAGTGGCCGGCACTGTATATGGAGGTATAGAACGAGATCTGCTGTTCATTACTAATGTTGCCAAGTGCTGCGATTGACATCGCCAAAGAACGGCGATTGGTAAAAATACATTTTTATCGAGCCCCTACAGGCCACTCATAAACTTGATTGTGATTCATAACTAGCGCGATCCTATTATTGTTTTTATTTTTTCATTTTATGACCAACGCCTTTGTGTGAGCATTTGAACAATTCCAAAACGCTACTGTTAGTAACCCGATAAGAGAGTTCAAAGCCGATGCACATATGTATACATACATACATATGTATGTATAATAGAAGGTGCTTATTGCATGTAAGCGTGTACACATGTGATTATGGATGCACCCTAACGGAAAGTCAACTGCTTTTGAGAACTTAAAACTGTAATGAGTTTTTCCGGAGACGCCTTATACCAATTTAGATAGAAAGGTTGGCCTTGCACAACTCCACTTAGCTGGAGTAAGTAATTGGAGATTTAAAGCCTTAACTAGAGTTTGTGATATCAACGGTCGAAGGTTTACGATAAACTTTTTATCGGTGCTCCGAAAAAATGTCATGAAATACACCCGAAACAAAACTAGTGTAGGTAGTAGCTATGGTCGAGTATAACATAAAAATAGGTTCCGTATAGTTCCGCCAGTTTTTATTTAATTTATAAGCAACCGTTATGTTCGTACTTGGTGCTCTTATCTGTTAACAGCTTGACTAATTTTGATCCGATTTTAAAAACCAGTTATTTTGAATCTGAAAAATGTTTAATTTAATTTGAAAACGGTTTCATTTAGTTTGAAAAAGGTTTCACTTAATTTGAAAATGGTTTCATTTAAACTGAAAATGCTATATTAAATTTTAATAAGCCCCTATTTTTCTTAATATTTTTTTTTTAACTTAGACCATCGCTAATTTGAAAAATTTCTATGAAAGTTGCCAAGCAAGTAGTATTTATCTAAAAGAACATTTATTTTTGAATAATTTGCTACCTCATCTAATGCATTTGCGTAAAAACTGTCAGAGTTAAGCAAGATAAGTAAAAATACGGCCTTGAATT